AGTCCTTAAGCGGTTGCCATGGCAATCAGTAGTACCATATATTTATATTAAGGTATCCTTATAGTTTTAATGGTTATTAAAGAAATCTTAAATGATATTGACATAAACTGAAGACTGGGTTTGTCGAAGTATCTCCACATTTTATAATATTAGTTGGTTCAATTGCATATACCATATATGGAGCTAAAGAAATTTATGATTTAAGAATCACTAATAACAGTGTTAATTCCAGTCATCCTCACTTAACATGTGAATATTTAATTCATCATCAACTGATTAACTAATCAATATTTCATCCATCATCCTCAATGATATCGGAATGAAAATCGGCCACTTCTTATCTATGGCAAATTGATTTGATTGGGTCAGTCGTTAGTTCAATTTTTCCCGCTCTCACGGACCAAGTGAAATCACAACTTTTAGATTTATTTAAATAACCCCAAAATGTATGCGCATTTTCAATGAGTTTCTGTTGCAAATAAAATCTTACCCATTGGCCGAAAAAATAAAAGAGAAAAAACTGGTCACTTGTCGGAAATCGTTTAAGTTTTTCACTTGATATGTCAAAATGCCAAAAACGTTGCACAAAACGTGGTTGGACCGATGTCGAACGGAGCCAATGGCCGGGCATTAGGCATACGCCCTGTTGGCCATGCCGCTCCTCGTTGCCAGCAAATCATTTAAGCGCCATGGGCGTGTGGTCTGAACAAACTGAGGCGACCAAGACAACAAATGGCCACCAGCTTCCTTCAAAAGCCGCGGCAGGGGCTGCCTCAGATGGCTTGGTCTAACATTGCTTTGGTTTTCCCCCTCTTTGCGCTTAGAAAAATTGCGGATGCAGTCGGGCCAGGTCGGACAGACAGACGACGAGAAGTCGGTCCGGTTTTTGTCTCGGCCATAAATAGAGTCGGTGTCGGATGGCGATACGGAACGATCCAGTGCGTTACACAATGCACTTTCAGTTTCAGTTTCGGTTTCGAACTGGGACTCGGACTCTGATTCCAAACACAATTCCGATTCGAATCCGTTTCTGCTGTTTGCTCGTATTAATGTTTTTCCATTTCGAGCTGATACTCAAATCAGTGGCCATGTAATTCAAATCTAAATTATCTCATTATTCATTCTTCTAGATCCGCTTTTTCGAACCTAATTAGCTTATAATTTGAGCTCAGTTTAGCTCAAGTCTCGACTGTCCGCCAGAGTCGTGCGCATAAATCAATAATCCACAACCGAATCGCCAGACATCCACTCGAGGCGACCAGCCTCGCTTCCAGCGAACTTGATCTAATTCCTTTTCGAGTCGCCATAAAAGTTGTTATGGTTACTGTTGTGTTTGCTTCTTATTTTTATAATTTTACTGTCTCTTCAGGTTTGTTCGCCAGCAAAACGTTGTCAAACTTATCGTAGTTTGGCAGGGTACTCAAACTTAGACGATGGAAAATTATGTGCGCCTTGGAAGCTCGATCGTTAATCAGAATGTGTCAATGACAAGGGCTTGAGGCGAGTCTTGGATCGCTTTGATCTGCTAATAAAAAGAAGTACTACACTGACATTTTCCATTTAAGGATAGCTTTTCCCTAATCTTAATTTCTTGAAGTATAAACTCCTCATTTAGGTCGCGTATTTCCAATGACAACTTCTTCTCTAGGATGAAGAGCCACACTTCCTGCATAGCATACTTTATCTTTCAGAATATTTCCATTCACTTCATTGACTTTCAGCTTCTGTGCCCAAGCAAGTTCCCAGACAATTTCCCAACAGTGGAGTCTGCACCTCAACAGCATTACAATTGTGTGAACCAATGCAAGCCACACACGAGCGAGGGCCCGCCTTTTGCCCGACGTGTTGCTCTAATAAACCTTAATTATATTTGGCTTATTTGTGACTCTTTCGCATTTAACATATGGCATATGGCATATTTGCATACAAAGCCACCCTGTCCGGAGGCTCATCAGCTGGCCAGGCTCTGGGGCACAGACACAGACACAGACCGCAGTAACATGCACCGAAGGCACCGAGGCACTCGAAGCATTAACACACTCCAAACAATTGGCCATAAATCAGCATGCACCAAATGCACAGGCACAGAAGGGAATGAGATGGCGGGAGGACGAGGGTAAAATGCAGTTATTGTTGTCGTTATAATCAATGAATTACGTCGCATCGGTTGACCACAATTTATGGGGACTCCGAACATGAGAATCCGAAATGCGGGGCACAAGAAGCATACAAAAGTTAGTGCTGAATCGAAGCCAAAATGCAACTGCACCAGCTGCCCCCGGAAAGGGGGAAGGGGTGTGAGACAGCGCTAGCCAGTGGTTGTGGAGGGGGCGCAACAGGGCACAGGGGGAGTGGCAGGCTTAGATGTTGCAACCGCATGCAACAAAAGCATCCAAAAGACGTCGCATGGCTAGCCGAACAGCAACGAACCGAACCGAACCGACTTCCACCTGCCTCGCTTCTATTTCTATTGCTATCCCTATCCCTCTCGCTCTGAATTGTGTCTGTTGGATACGTTTATCCGTCTGTCCGTTGCCAGCTGACAGAACTGTAACGTTTGCTGTTGGGGCAAGCAGCTGCAGTGGCCCGACTCGGCTTGGGTCGGTTCCATCTGGCCAAACATAGAAAACAAACACATTTCTGCTAAAAAAAAAAAAGTAAAAGTTGCAGAGCCTCCAGCAGCCCGGTGTCCGGCCGAACAGCGGCTTCCATTTTGGGGGAGCCTTTAAGTGGGGATTCTCATGGCTTGGATTTGGATGGTCGAGAGGATTTTTATTCCTTGCTGTTAGGGAAAATAATTGAAAAGTTGCTTGGCTTAGAAACAGAGAGTAAAGATTATAAATAGGACCTGCACAATAAAAGCTATCATTTAAATAATTTCTAGGCATTTTTGAACATTTTTGCAATTTTGCAAAACTATAAATTAAATAAAATAAATAAATAAATTATTTATAAGCATTTCTTCTAAGGAAGCATTTGATTGCGTGCTGGACTGCTCTATTTCGCCATTTCATTTGTGTTTTTGGAATGGTAATTAATATTCAAAATTATGCATTAAAATATGCAAAACATAGATAATAAACTTGAGTCGGTTTCATCAAACTTGCAGGTGACAACAAAGCAATAATTGTAGATTAAAGTCTAAGATTGATGCATTTGCCGCGCCCCCCTCACACAGCATTCAATTAAATTGTTCAACGGCTGGGCCCTTTATAGCTTTTGGACAGCTGTTTTATAGTCCAACTAAATAACCAAAGCGATAAATGTTTGTTTTTTTTTTGGCGCGATTGCTTTTAAAGAATTTGTCAAAGACAATAGAAAATGTAAATTCCATTCAGGCCCGGCAGCCAAACAATAAGATTAGTCAATCACGACGCACGCATATCATTGGAACTGTCTCATGGCGGGGTCCAACATCCAACAGGTTTCACTTTGCGCATTAACAAATAATTATGCTGGCAATTGCCAAATCGCAGACTCTACTCCGCTGATATATAATCTGATTTTGTGCAAATGCAACAGCTACGGCCTGCTCCGACGACTGCAGCGCCGACCCATAAAGGCCTTTCACTTTTGCGGCAGAGAGCATGGCTCACGCATGGCTCACGCATGGCTCCCGATCGCAGTCCCAGCCAGAGTTCCAGTTGCAGTCCCAGTCCCCGTCCCAGTGTCACTCCAAGTTGCAGTCTACCTTCTACCATTCGGCTATTTAAAACATTGCAAACAATCGAACTCAGATACTCGAATGAAACACGATCCCTGGAATACTTATAGTAGTGTGTGGCAATGTGGTTACAGCCTCACAGCCGCAACACTTCCTTAAAGTGCGTGCCATGAGGCATGCAACATGAATTATGCCAGGGTATTTTAGCTATGCAATTTCCGCTTTCCACTGTTCCCTCTAGGAAGTTCAATGCGTAATTCGAGCCAGTGGAAGTAACAATATCAGAAGCATAGAGCCATCACCAGCCAAGCCAGGCCTTTCCTCAAGTATCAATGTTGTACCATATGATGCAATCCGAAGTTGAAAAGTATGCGACGACAGGCAAACAACCTGAGGAGTATGGGTAGAATTAAGACTAATGATAACGAAATTTCGTCGTTTCGCACCAAGAAAATTTTGGCTATCAGCCGAGAGCAGCCGTGATCAGGAATTGAAAGTAGAGCGGTCTAAACGTCTTTTGTGTTTCTCCTACTGTTGTGTTTAGAACACGAAATACGGGACAAATATGTTACTTATATGCGTGCATATCAGCAGATCTATTACCGCATAATTTTATGTGCCCACTATCTAGCTTATAAATCGTATATTAACTCTGCAGCTTTCAATGATCCAATCCAATCAAAACAAAGGCTGAGCTAATAATTTTATTATCGATTTAATTGATTCCGGAAATCAGGTTCCCACTATATTGTCGACTCCCCAAACCTGACGAGTTTGAAAGACATATGACCTTTCCTCGTCAGACATTTTAGGAACAACAATGCGATTTCAAGGAGGAAGAAATACGAAGAGATTGTTTACCGAAATCCAAACATAAATAACTAACAATACAATTTGGAGAATTCTGTGGGATTTGCCCAAAATAAATTTCATTTCTGGATTTTGTTTTATTTATTTTAATTTATTTAAGTGTTTTTTTTAGTACCCCAAATTGATTTCAGGGCGAATTTGCTCCCATATTTTATACAGCACTTGGAACTTGGACAACCATTCGCCTTACTCACACAGGCACAGCGGAGCCGCCAGTGCCTTTGTATTGATGGCACACTCGTTTGTCTGTGGTGGTAGTGGTGGGCGCTTCCGCTTGCAGCTTTCCAAGTCACTTGCACACAACCAAAGCGCACCCACACAGCAGCACGCCAAGCCAAGCCAAGCTACTTCGAGCAGCGAGCTTTTGAGAGAGCGATGCGACGGCTTGGAAAAGCTTTTGGTAACCGCTCGACGGCTGGGACTTGGCGGCGTTTTCAGTTTCGTTTTGACACAAAAACTCTTTGGGGGTATAAAAGCGCGCCACTGACCACAGACAGCATCCAGTCAGAGGTTTGGAATCGCTTGGGATTCTACAATCCTTACACAGTATATTCGATATTATTTCTGCGCTACTTGTAAGTGAAAAGAACGAAGAAGTGTATACCCCAACAAATGTGTGCCAAATAAATTTTAATTTTAGACGTGCTGAAAAAGTTGAAAAGTTTTCAAGATTTGCAAAAATGTGTGCTCCAAGATTGTGTTAGATCAGAAAAGTTTTCAATTAAATGCAGTGCATGTTCGAGAAAAAAGCACTTCGAATTCTATCTGATGATAAATATTTTTGAAATGTATGCTGATTTGTATTCTAACAATTCCATTGTTTTATTTACAGCCTTGGCAAGTCCCATCTCTCTCCACAATGAAAGTTTTCGTAAGTACAATGGAAATAAATGAGCCAATCTAAAATCTTATCAATCAGAATGCAAGAAATTTAAATGTAAATGTTAATTGAGGTGAATGTGTGAATTAAGAGGGTCGAGAGCATATTAATTTGCGTGAGACTTCGGGAATAGACATAGAATTGTAGGGGACTCTCACATATATTACATAAAATAACGATGTTAACTAATTTTTTTACAACCATAATTATGGCTTGAGCACTTACTGAGAATTGTTAGTGGTGAGATGCGACGTCTGCTATTCATATGCGAGAATGTTGGGCCAGGGAATTCAACTCTTTAATATGAATTTCAAATAGATTTATGCGCATGGGCTAGCTGTCGCCACCGGGCACTTCCTAGAGCACAACAAACCGTTGAATGGCATAAGACAAAGCCGGAATTGCGGCGAATGACAAACTTCAACTTGAACCACATGGGTAATAAGCGACTCATAATTTGAGTGCCGGCCACGTCTAGCCAACAGCAGGCCATAATCAGCCCGGGCCAACTGATCAATTAATAGACTACTGCAGGTGCACTCGAACAGTTGCTCCAGACGCTGACTGCGCATGCGTGACATGACGCAAGCCGCAAACAGTCGGACGCGACATTTTGTCAGGTTCGCAATCGTAAAACAGAGGGGAAGTAGGCGTAGTGGGGGCAGGGCATAGCTCTGCATTGCATTATCAATGCGTGGCACGCTCGAATTTCACCTGACCATTTGAATCGCAAAGGAGGGCGATGAGACAACAATCAAGTGGGCGTCAGTCATATCACAGTCACTTTCTAATGCGATTGGGTAATCGATCGAGCAGTCCAAAAGGGTCATCAAATTGTCTGTTTTGTTGGGTAATATTCGTATCCATTTTTATGTTGCAAGAGAATCCGTTGACAAAGATAGGAATTAAATGGGATCGGAAAATATTGGACTAAAATTAGCTTAGAATTAATTGAAGTTTGCAATAAACGCATAGTTCTAGGATAAATGCTAGGATAAGTGTAAGTCGTTCCTTACTTATTGCCACAACCATCCCTACCATTTATAGATCTGCCTAGCCGCCCTGCTGGTGGCATCCGCCTGCGCCAGCAAAACCGAAGGCGAGAAGGTGCCTCTGGAGAAGAAACTGGACAAGCGCGGCCTGCTCGACCTGGGATACGGCTACGGCCACGCCGGTCTGGATGTTGGCTATCTGGGACACGGTTCCGTGGCCGGACATGGCTACGGCCATGGTTATGGACTGACTGGACACTCTGGTCCCGCAGCCATTTCCGTGGGACACAGCGGCCCTGCCTACTCCATTGGACACACCGCTCCCGCTGTCGCCGTCCACCACGCCCCCGCTCCTTACGTGATCAGCAAGCAGGCCGATGTGCACAAGACCATCACCATCACCAAGGGAATCCCAGTGCCCGTGCATGTTGACCGGCCCTATCCCGTTGTGCACGAGAAACGCGTGCCCGTCGAAGTAAAGGTGCCCGTGCCTCAGCCCTACGAAGTGATCCGGAAGGTGCCCGTCTCCGTTAAGGAGTACGTGAAGGTGCCCGTCCCAGTGCCCCAGCCCTACGAGGTCATCCGCCACGAGAAGTACCCCGTCCATGTGCCCGTCGATCGCCCAGTGCCCGTTGAGGTTCCCAGGCCCTACCCCGTGCCAGTGGCCAAGCCCTATCCAGTGTACGTGGATAAGCCCGTCAAGGTGGCCGTGCCTGTCCAGGTCGACCGCCCCTATCCCGTTTACGTGAAGGTGCCCGTCGTCTCCCACTCCGTGGTGAAGCACGCCCCCACCGTAGCAGTCAGCAGCTATCCCGTGCACGGTTATCCCGTCAGCAGCTACCCAGCGAGCAGCTACGGGCACGACTCCTCCGTCTACGCCGACCACTCTGGCTACCACAAATAAGCGGACTCAGGGCGATCCAGCGATCCATTGGAGCAAGCGGACCTTCAAGAAATGAGCGGAAGGAAATTTAGCCACATTTTCTATTAAATTCTACTCTCACACGGTCTCTGCTCCCACTCCACCTGTCTGTCCCTGCAAACAAGAACATCAACAACAACCCTAGGAAGATGCACTTCCGCCCTGCCACTCTCTGTAGCTCTAAGAACCCAAGATGAACAAAAAATGCCTTTTGTAAATTATTTCCAATCCAGCCATCCAATGGAAGCAGTTGTGTTGGATGAGTCTCCCGTTTAGGATAAACAGCAGCTAAATGTTTGTAAATGCCAATATTTATGGACATTTTAGCTGTCACGTTTATCAGTGAAAGGTTTCCACGCACAATGAATTGAATAGACAGCAACTGAAATACATATGTGACAATCATTTAAGGATACCTAAATAAAATAAAACGTATAAAATACTATTCAATTGTTTTATCACTGGCAGCGCGAATTTGGCTTATGGAAATAATTTAGCTTCTGTTTTCCAATGTCTTGTATATATATTTTGTAAATAAAGAAAATATTGTTTTAAGCGGATTGTTTCCTTGAGATTAAATATATATGGGACCCCTTACCTAGATGGATGCATCGTTTCAATAGTTTTGTGGAAGCTTAAAAGTACAAGTAGCATTGAGAAAATACGTATGCTGAAGACAGATTTAATATTGTAATTGTAACTACGAGTATAACTCTTTTGTGACTTGTAGCACTAGGAATCTAAATCAAAATAAATACAAATACAAAGCAATGGTTTATTTAAACTATTTAAAGTGAATAAAAAAACCCTGCGCACAATAGCTGTAATATGATCGTAAAATCATTTCAATATTAAATTTTAAAATATTGAAAAATTGTAAAATATCCGAATAAGCCAATTTTCATGTATTTAGCGTCAAATGGTCTTTTGGATTGAATGAGATCAGGGAGCTTGATGCCATACTCCATCACTATACACATAATATGTACATGGTATAGTGTCCCTTTGATGTCTTTTGACATTTACAAATGTAATCTTGTCACATTGCCAGTCACTTTGGCTGGCATGACCTAAATGGGAAACGAATTCGCATTCGATCGGAAGGAATCGCAAGTTGTGGATGGCCTAGCGTGGGTTCATCTTCAAGCGACCTCACTCAATAATCCATCACGGGCCAAGCAATGTAAATGACACCAGAGATTACCTCTGATGTGCTCGCTTAGCTGAGCGCAGAGATCCGAGACACGTGCAAGGTCGCACAGAGAAGCCAGTGCCGAAGATGACGTGCACATCTCCATTCCGATCCATTCACCAGTCGACGTCAGGGCACTGTCTCTGCTGAGTTCATTTAAAAGTCGGTCGTAAATTTTAATAACATTTAGCCACATGCGAAGAACGGCCCGTCGGTCATCGGAGGATCAAAAATAAAAGAAGAGAGGACAGCAGACACTTGATATTTAATTTCGGTTTTCTGCTTTTTACGACAAGTGAACGAACCAAGCGGGGTTTTTCCTCGTCAAATATCAAAATATCAACTTTCAAAAAACCAGCACATTGCGAAAAAGTTCTTAACATAATGTTCGTCTTGATGAATTGGTTCAATTAAGTTTAGGGCTATTTAATATTTGTTTACCCACGAAAGATTCTCGAACCGGTCCGTCCATTTGACGTATTATCCAAACGAATGTAATTAAAACCGTTTTTCTAAACATGCTAGCCATATCAACAGATTTACTTTCGGGATCTGTCCATCTTCAGAAAGGGGCTCAGCCCCACTCCATTTTATTTATTTCGGCGAGGCCAAAGCCCTCTCGATGACTTTGAGGTCCGATCCCAAGGACGCTGCTCAGTCCAGACGGAACTAAAACAACTTTCTAATAAAAAGTCGCCTGTTCTTGTTAATTTGTGATTTAATTTTCTTCTACTCCGATTTGGACTCCAAAGAGAGCCGATACGTCTCCGTCTCCATCTCTATCTCCGTCTCTGTCTCCGTCTCTGTCTCCGTCTCTGGGTAGAACCAGTTCCAGGCCAAAGAATTCACTTGGATCAGGCTGAAGGTCGGCGGCTTTATAGACAGCATGTGCACACCTCTAATAGAGGGCGGGAACGGGGCACAAAAGACACTGCACTTACACGTACATGCATTCGTAATTTCGTATCTTTAACCATAATTTGTTACAAATTACAATTGAAACTGCTCTTGCTCTTGCCGGTGGTGTGGTTCACCAGACACTGTTGCACACGTATACTCTTATTACATATGTGTGCATACTATAGTTTTATTTTGTTCTTGACTTGGATTGTCTTTTGGGTTGTGCAACTGCTGGCAATTACAAAGCGGATCTCTTGATCAAACTTAATTGTCGTTGGGTCGTAGTCGTAGGGTCCAATTATTTCAAATTAGTTTAAACAAGAATTTTCATGATCACCAAGATAGTAATTTAATGTTAACGAAATGCTGTCGCAATGGAAATTGTTGTTTAAGAAAACAAAATAATAAAAAAAGTCTCTATAGACACTAATAAAAATATATTGTCGATAACGTAACAAATGTAACAAATCAATATATTCTATAGGGATGCAATATTTCCAGAACTAATCATTGATTTCTTCCCTATGTAGACATTTACATATAATTATCACAATCATTGTACACAAAATAAGCGACATATCCATTAGCTGCTAGGACACACTGGAAAAACTTCTAGAAACGTATATGTTTAGAGGAGGATCAGGATATATCAACTCGATTTATATTAAAACGTCACGAATAGATTTATATACATATAAGTTCATTTATTCTCAATATGCCGAATTAGTGGTAAGGGCAGGCGGACCGAATTGCCCGTGCCCTAATGCAAGCAAGAGAAAGACAGACGGAGGGAACGACAGCGAAGGCGAAAGAAAGAAGGAAGCTAGATGCATATATAGACCGCGATTTGTGTTTATATACGCGACGAGAGAAAAGTGCGAAAAGGTGCGAGACGAAGAGACGAAAGAACGGTTGAAACGGCTATTACAGTGAGGGGGCGGGTGTAGATACATGTAGATTACAATTAGGTACAGTGGGCAGTGCAAATAACGAACAAATAATGTAAATCAATCCGACTTTAAGGCTGCACCACTGACTATAAATACTGAATAATGATCGGCTGAAAGACCAAACATGATACATTGCGACTTTTGTTAAATTTATCTTACACGAATGGGAAAGTGTGGCTATAAAATATTAAATAGAATTTATTGTACACACACATTCATATAATTCTTTCATGAATATGCGAATCATTTGCCCTTTAGCTTTTTACTCCCCCTCTTTTCATCGTATGTATTTATTTAAACCAAAATAAAATGAATATTCATTGACCATATACCCATCGCCATCTTCGCAAAAATACATATCTGGAGCACTCATAGCCCATAAATCAGAGATATTGCAACGCCCATAGCAAAAGAGAGATCCCCCACGCAGCGCGCAGATCGATCGATTTCGATCGCGCACATCTGAAGGAATCGCCCAGTGGCAGCACTTACGCAATATTGTCGTGCGGCAGGCATGAGCGGACAATCGGTTGGGGAAGGCAAGCTAATTCTGCAACCAGCGCGGCGGCGCCCAATTAAAACAATATTTCCCGCGGCGATGGGGGCGGGAACAAAGAGCTGATGAGGGAAACGGGGACGTTCGTATATTTGCTGAAATTTAATTAATTGCCACAAAACGATGGTGACACAACGGCGGACGACAAAAGATGGCAACGGAGCAAATGGAAAAGCTCAACATGTATTTTCGCAATTCTTTCCGTCGTTGGTGGTTTGGCTGAGAAAACCACGAAAGACGTTCCACATGTTGCCAAATGTGAAACTCTGCTCTAATGAACGACAATCCAGTCGGCGGTTTTTGAAGGTCATCGCCAAGTTGTCCATCGCCAAAATCCAAACGAATGCGTCTGCATCCCCGCATAGTTGTCGTCCAATTGCGAAATTAATTTGGTTTAGTTTTGGCTGTTATTTTTTCGATATTGCCAAAATGTCTGTCTGTTTGGCAGCCAAAGTTGAAATCAGAAAAACTTGCACCAGTTTCTCGAACAGAAAACTCAAAACCCAAACACACAAAACCCAAAACCGAAGCTCTGATTGCAAACGTAATCGAAGTCGAAGTCGGAGCGGACCAAGTCAAGTGAAGCGAGCGTCTTTGGCAATCTGGAAACCCCAGGTACTCTGAGGCCCTCCCACCTGGCCTCTTCATGTGTGCCTTCTGTTCCGCCTGCCCGGCATTTGGCTTGCTGTTTCATTTGGCCAGCAAACATATAACAAAATACCCGTTTTAGCCACAATGCAATTGCAGCCATTGACGTGGTGCATGATCCGATTTCAGCTAAATGCCAAGTCTATTGAACCCACGATGATAAGTTGGATGAGTAAATCAAGAAGAAGATTCAACTACTGTACCCGTAGGTAGCCTCTTGTCCAACTCAAATATTCTTCCTCATACTCCAGATCATATCTGGACATCAAATTATGTTTGACTGCGGTGACTTCTGGCTGTTCGTCTCCGCCCCATCTTGTGGCGCATTCAAATTGCAAACAATTAAGCTTGTAAACACTACCGCATCGCAGCCAATCGGATTATGCAATTGTGCCATGAATTATGGCTGCTATGGCCTGGCCTGGTCCACGGGTGTGTTTCGCACGAAAGCGAAGCGAATCCTTTCACCTGCCTGCAAACGAAACAAAAGACCCAGGCAACGAACTCGAGTCCACAATGATTTCTCATTCACTTGCAATTTCCGTATTGAAAGTGTTTCTCTGGGTTGTGGACACTCCTTCAAGTTCTTTATCTATGCCGCGAACTATGTCAAATGAGCCAAGTGGAGGCACCGCCTTTAAGGGGCATTCAACAATCTAATAGTCCCCCAATTGAAAAGCAAAATCTCTTGGAAAACATCTCTCGCCAAAAATCCAAAAACAACAAAAAGGCTTAGCAGCGGCAGCAGACTCCCAAATCTGGCTAAACTGTCGGGCCACTGCTGGAGTCCAGTTACGAGTACGAATACGAATACAAATACGATTACCTGCCGCCGAATCGAGTGCCGACTGCAGCTGCTCGAGGAGCCAAAGCTCTGAATAGTTGCATAATTTGTGTTTTTGTTGCTGCTGCTGTTGCAGTTTGGGGCTTTGGAAGTCACTCAGTTAGTGTGTCACTGTGGCTTTTGCAACAAACAGTTGCTGGCTGGGATTGCTTCGGTTTTCTGCCACATCTCCAGCCCCCACTCATTGTCTTCTGCGCTGCGCTCCGCTGTGCTGTTGATATTAGTAATTTTGTATTTCACATGCTCGTGGCATGATATGTTGTGGCAGCAAATCATTTGCCTAATTTTGCATTGATTTTGGTGGGCGTTGAAGCGCCCGGTAAAGGCAAATCGCTTTTATAGTTTTTCATTGATTTGCGACGGCTTGGAAGCCAGGTTCTAAATGTCAATCGAGCAGCCCGAGGGTGTCAGT